TCAAGTATCACCTGTAAGTGCTGGGGCAAGTCATGTGAGTGCAATCTTTGTGCTGAGGTAAATCCTGGGTGCTGGTGCAGGTCCTGGGTGTGCAATCTCTGTGCTGGAGTAAGTCCTGACTCCTGGGTGCTTGGGCAAGTCCTGGGTGCTTGGGCAAGTCCTGTGAGTGCAATCTAATTGTTGGGGTAAGTGCGGGTGCTGGGGCCAGGGCCGGATTAACACAGGGGCTGATGGAGCTACAGCTCCAGGACCAAGCCCCTGGAATAGGCCCATTGATTAAAAAAAAATAAAAAAAATTAAAAAAATTATATATATATATATATTTTTTTTTTACACACTACTCTTAGGGTTGCCAGGTATTTCTCAGGTATTTGAGTCTGCCTAACCGGTTCCGGTATTGCAGTAATACCAGCAATACAAATATCAGTCCCAGTATGAACAGACATTCTGCAATACTATTGCTCGCCAGTGGTGTGTGAAGAGAGGCAGGGATAAGAAGTTACAGCTCCCTGCCTCTCTCTACTCAATGATCCGCAGGGGAGCATCTCTGCACAGAGAGTCCAGACAACAGCTCCGAGAATGCAGAGACAGCTAACCGCTCAGGTAAGTGAGGGGTGGGGGAAAAGCTGCAGGGAGACATGGGGACAGACACTAGGGGACACAGACATAGGGACACTTGGAGACCTGGGGACACAAACACTTGGGGAAACAGATGGGGATGTTGAGAGACTTGGGGACACTTGGAGACAGACACTAGGGAAAACTGTGAGACGTAGGGACAGTGAGAGACTTGGGGACCCTGAGACACTATGGACACAGTGGCCCTATGCCTCCCAGTCAGTGTCCCTAGTGTCCCCATGTCTCCCTGGTGTCCCTAGTCTCCCAGAGTCCTCTAATCTCTCCCAGTAAAACTGGGAGACATGGGGATACAAGCACTAGGGGACACTGGGCGACTTTAAGACCTGGGAGACATGGGGCACTCCCAGTGTCCCTAGTATCTCAGTTTTCCCATGTCTCCCATTCTCCGTAGTGTGTCAGTGTCCCTAGTGTCTGTGTTCCAATGTCTCAGTGTCCCCTAGTTTAAAAGAAAAATTCTCAGGCATTCGCTGTAATAGCTGTAAGCAGGTTTATTGGACACCGCAACGTTTCGACCTGTACCCAGGTCTTTATCAAGTCTCCAGTGTCCCCTTATGTATCACAATGTCTCAATGCCCCATGTCTCCTAGTGTCCCCGGTGTTTCTCAGTGTCAGTGTCCCCAAATGTCTGTGTCTCAATGTTTGCTAGTGTCATGTTTGCCCCTTTCAGCAGTTCTCGTTATGTGATTTGCGTCAGTGGCCCACCCTTTTACCCTGTCCATAGACTTCCTGCTTTACTGGATACTGCAGTTAGTGGGAACGGATTTACTTGAAAGATGAAAGCATGGGTATGTATTTTCTCATAGCTGCATCCTGAGTTTCCCTCCAGCACCATCTCCATGATGCTTGGGAGGTAGGACTGTGTTAGTGGTTTTGGTCAATAAGCTTCTGTAATTAGGCCCATCATAATTGTCAGCACCAGGCCCACTGGGCTCTTAATCTGGCCCTCAAGGTATGCCATAGGGGTAATCTTCATTCCTGGCTTCCATATGGTCTCACAGGCAACATAACCAATGTGTATAAAAAGAAACACACATAAATATGTATATACTGAAAAATGTAACAAGCTATATTTGACCCTGTAAACTTCTCAAAACACCATAAAACCTGTACATAGGGGGTACGGTTTTACATGTGAGACATCGCATTTATTGCAGCAAAAGCAAACAGTATTAGGAAATGCACAGTTAAAGGAACACTATAGTCACCTAAATTACTTTAGCTAAATAAAGCAGTTTTACTGCTCAATTCACTGTGATTTAGGAGTTAAACCACTTTGTTTCTGTTTATGCAGCCCTAACCACACCTCCCCGGCTATGATTGACAGAGCCTGCATGGAAAAAAAAAAACTGGTTTCACTTTCAAACAGATGTAATTTACCTTAAATAATTGTATCTCAATCTCTAAATTGAAATTTAAACACATACAGGAGGCTCTTGCAGGGTCTAGCAAGCTATTACCATAGCAGGGGACAAGAAAATCTTAATTAAACAGAACTTGCAATAAAGAAAGCCTAAATAGGCCTCTCTTTACAGGAAGTGTTTATGGAAGGCTGTGCAAGTCACATGCAGGGAGGTGTGACTAGGGTTCATAAACAAAGGGATTTAACTCCTAAATGGCAGAGGATTGAGCAGTGAGGCTGCAGGGGCATGTTCTATACACCAAAACTGCTTCATTAAGCTACAGTTCAGGTGACTATAGTGTCCCTTTAAAATGTCATGCAGAACTAAAATAAAATTATTTTCTCCTTTTTATATTTTATTCTTATTAAATTATGGTTCATAGCTAAATATTTGATGTTAAATGAAAGCCCTTTTACCCCTGAATAAGATGATATATAAGTGTGAGTGCACTTAATATAAAAGAGGTAAAATTACAGTTGAACAGACAGTCAAATTCCAGGTTTTGTTTTGATCACAACGTGTACATTTGGCTCAGTCCTTAAACAGTTGATTCAATGCAGCAATTACTTTTAGCAAGGAGACTAAGGGCTCAATGCTATTAATTATATAGCAAATATCCACCTTATCTACCGAATAGGTCTCTTTAGAATTTGGCACTTTAGATTCCAATCTGTTCTCTCATAGGTTGAAATTGCACCTTTGTATGTTGCTTTCCAGATGATGGTCCCACTGCTGCGACCTGGAATTATAAGCAGGGACCTCCAGTTGTTATCGCTGCAATGCCTGCTGTAAAGTTGATAAGCCCCTGTGTAATTGACAGCGGGACTATCCATGTCAAATGTAGTGACCGGTGACCCTTGGCCAGATATACTTTCAAGTAGTGCCCTCTTGATTCACTGCTCTCATAAGATTCAGCTCCATAAAGGTGAACACAGTTTAGGAAATCAGGTGATACCTTAGTGCATACGCGAGCTTTCCCCATTGCCTTTAGCCTCCTACACCTCCTGACCAGAAACGTCTGGTTTTCTAACACCTAAAACTTGTTTGTGTGGTGTGACTCAGTCACTGTTCTGTTATTAAACCACACTTACTGATTATCACTGGATCCTAAATTTCCACCTACTGTAATATCTGATACCAAATCTCCATTTGTTAACACTAAATCTATTATGGCCTCTTTACGAGTTGGTTCCTCAATGACTTGTTTTAGAGACAATCCCAGTATGGAGTTTAGAATATGTGTGCTTCTCATTGACAGCCACTAGAGGCGCTTGCGTGCTTCTCACTGTGATTTTCAGAGTGAGAGCACGCAAGCGTCCATAGGAAAGCATGGAGAATGCTTTCCTATGCGACGGGCTGAATTCGCGCGCAGCTCTTGCCGCGCGTGCGCATTCAGCCCAGGAGGAGGATCGGAGGAGGAGAGCTCCCTGCCCAGCGCTGGAAAAAGGTAAGTTTTAACCCCTTCCTCTCCCCAGAGCCGGGCAGGAGGGGGTCCCTGAGAGTGGGGGCACTCTCAGGGCACTATAGTGCCAGGAAAACGAGTATGGACACTGGACCAAGTATGCCATTTTAATTAGGTGAGTAATTTAAAATCAGACAAATCCTAATTTTTTTTTAACCTCCTGTATACCTCAGATTACCTCCAGAATATCTCCAAGCACACACTTTGAAGAAGCAACCAAGCTATATTAGCCAAGCTAATGACCACACCCCTTCTATAACTCCTAAAAGCACCACCCACTAGGAATGTTTCACACTTGGGTAGGCCTATGCTCATTTGAAAACAATAGCCAATCAATAGCAAACACCTAGCTAATTAAATGCCTTACCAATTACCAACAGGAAATCAAACCTTGTGCAATCAGTAACCTTTTCCTATAGATGAATCTTACCTGTAACAGTAAAAAGAAAACTTAGCAAAATCTTGAGACAGTTGAAGAATCTGCAAAACTCTCCAGAATAGTTCCAAGCAAACACTTAGAAGTAGCAACCAAGCTATATGGTCTTGTCTCAAACCACAGTCTGTTGGATATCCTAGCAAGGCAAGATTAACATGGATGCTATGCTATCGGATGGCCAGGTCTGTGCATTGAAATCAGCTCAAAAGCCACTGTTATACGGTCAGTTTCCCTCCCCTTCTGAAATGGGATGCTTCCAGTACCTGGCACTATAGCTCCCTGTAGTGCAGAAAAGGTAAAAAACAAAAAAAACAAAACCAAAAAAACCAAACCCTGTTACTCACCAGAGTCCAGTGCCGATGTACCTTGGCTCAAGCTCTGTTGACATTAGCAGGCGGGAGAGACCTGCTGTGCTCACATTAGTTTCCTACAAATCTTGAATTTATGTCTGTATAAGTGCTTATTTTAATTTATATGAATATGTTGTATTTCACATTTGAATTCTGAGCTCTGGAAAAGCTCATTACAAATACTGTCTTTTCTCAACCCCACAAATGCAAATCAGGTATTAACTTTGTTTAATACCTGTGGTATTCCAGAATTCAGTTAGCAGTACCATCAGGTGGACATGATATCATTTGTGATTCAGAAGCCATAATCCACAGGCTCAAGTTTGAGGTGTTCTCTATGTGAAATTTGGGGGAGGGGAAAATAAATAACTCCTAAATTTTTGACGCAAATTTCATTTTCCATAGTCCAAGCAGCAGCCAAGACTTCCCACCCTGCCTGTTCTGGATCAAAAAGAAAACATCCTATTTAGCTTATTTACTGGGGAGCTCAGGATGTAGTTTTTTTTTTTTTTTTTAATGCTACCTATCCTGTGACAGTAAAGGGCACCTACCCTGTGATGTCTGCCACTTTGACTCTGGAAAACTAGTTTTGTTTTTTGTTTTTAAATGTACTATTAAACAGCAAGTAGTTAAAAACCTAAACCGTAAGCATTTAGTAACAAGCATATACAGTGTGAAGTAGACAAGACCGTAGTCAAGGATAAAAGTTTAGACAACTCAAAATCACGTCAAACGTTTTGCTTAACTTTGAATCTTTAATAAAATGCTTGATTTGTAAACTCAATTTCTATTCCACAGTCTGTGTGGGTGCTGCTCCTGTTCCCTTAATATCAGAGCAAAACCCGCTTACCACATTGGAAATGTTCAGTACACATTGGCATTACATTGGTTTCTGCATCAGTACAGAAAAGAGATCAGCAAAAATGATTACAGGAAAAAAAAAAGTTGCATATTTCGGAAGGTTTTTTGTAGAATACAAAAAGAGTTAACTCTGGAAGTGCTCATATGAATGGCCAAGACTGATTCAAGAGGGTAGAGGTTCTAAACAGGCCCAGTGTGCAGTCTGAGACCAAGAAATGTATTAAACCCACCAACAAAGTGCTCAATACCCCTATTTGTTACTTTGGTCCAACTAACCATTTATTGATCATCCACCCAATTCTGGCGAAAGTAGAAATCCCAAAACCCTTTTTAAACTGGCACAAGGAGAATGAACAAGAGATTAGCAAGGGCAAGTCTCCGCGGGGCTTCTGGCACTAATTAAGTGTGGTACAGCAGGACATTATTCAGCAGAGAGCTGGGAGCATGAGGTTTCTACCTTACAGCTAGAGTAATCCTCAAAAGAGAGAAGCAGCAGAGAAAACAAGAAAGGCCATGGAGGACACATGCCGCATTTATCCTGCAATCTCTGTCACTGTAGTCACCAACTTCTGGCCATTGTAGACAGTCTTGAACTGTTCAGGCACTGGAAACTCGCTCTGTGAAGGAGACCGATTACAATTAATTCATTAGAAAAACACGAGAGCAAGAGAAAAAGTACAGAGGCTCTGCTGGGAAAAATTACTCACAAACTCTCCATCACTGCCCGGGACTAGAATATTCATCTCTGATGATGTGGCGCTGATTATCTCACATTTTAGACTGTCTTTACTCAAGTAGACATGGCAACCGTCAGTCTTGTTGATAGATACTGTTGGCACTTTACCCAATACCTGCCAAAATACCACAAAAGTTTATTGGGGGGAGGAGGGGTAATATTTAGAACTTTACAGATGAGAGGTACCTCTTAAAAACACAGTAAGCATGGGACAGTATGAGAGGTCACCTACTTCACCAGTATAGAATCATACCCATCCTTTTCTGGAAGAGGCAAGTGGCCTTGGTACTTTATTCACAAGTCTTTAAGGATTATTATTTTATTAAAACCGTAGAGAAATTAGAATGAGAACAGAAATAAAAAGGCTTACATTATGAAGACAGTGGTGGTTTATTCATAAACTTGTAAAACCTAGCTTTAATGGTACACCATTATAGGTACTAGAAGGTACTTATTTGGTCCAGACTTTAAGAGGAGAACACTAAAGTCATATGCTTAAAATTAGAGGGAAATACCAGAAACTAAAACATACTTTAAGATAAATGAATCATGTACTTTACACTGATATAGTCAGCAAGAAGACTCAAATCTGGTAATTCTTTAAAGGAACACTATAGTGTCAAGAGTACAAACATGTATTTCTAATACTATAAATTTAAAATATTAGTTTATGCACCCACTTGTCACTGGCTAAAAAGGAGATTTTATTCACCCTTTTTCCAATGCTGGGAGAGTCTCCTCGTGGATGGTCTCGCCCCCTTGGCGGTGATAAAAATTGATCATCTCAGTCAATCTAATTCTTTCCCGTAGGAAAGCATTAGGAGGCTATTGCTCATGCACCAATCAGCATCTCCTCATAAAGATGCACTGAATCAATGAGAAGCGTTTAGCATCTCCATGCAGAGGGTGGAGACGCTGAACGTCAGTGCACTGACCCAAGTGACTGCAACAAGAGAGGTTCCTTGGCAGTGTTTACATTAAAAAGCCTGAAGGACACGGGTATCATTTTTTTTTCCTTTAAAGCATTGAGTGTTCCTTTAATGGTTGTAAGACATTTACTATGATTAGATATATCAGAACTCTCACCTAAATTCAGAGTATTTCTCACCTGCAGCTTCACATCCTTTGAGTTGATGATCTCTACAATTCCCACAGCATCTTCAAATACCAGGCCAAGCTTCTTGCAGTTATCTAAAGAAAGACCACCAATTAACTATCAATCTCCTTTACCATATCAGTGTGCAGCCAATCCACTTTGTTGAATTTCCACTACCTTAGAAATTCTGTTTACACCCCATTATATCTTACCAACAGTGATGGAGTTTATCTTCCCTTTCACTTGTATAGTACTGTTTACACACTTATAGATGTAAACCACTTGCTTCAGCTCAGTGTCCGTGATTTCTAAATTAGTAGCATTCTCATAGTTCTCCTGTAAATAGAGGAGAGTGTAGTTGCAGTATTTGTGTGTAAATCAGTAGATGGATTAATAACCTTTTTTTAACAAATCTCAACAATGTAGTGCTTTCTTTCCAATGTAGAACTAGTAGTTTTATAAGTGGCTTGTTAACCATTACCCTACATTTTTCATAATTCTCTGAAAAAAGTTTCCTATACCAATATATGCCCAAGGGCTTTGCAGCCTGAAAAAAAAAAAAAATACAAATATGATGACACGTGTTAATGTCACCCCTCAAATTTTGGTTGGCATTTAAGTCAGAAGACAATAGTAGCTTTTGAAAATAAGAATCTGTTCGTACAGCCAATATCAGGCTATTTGTGCTTCGTTTCTCTTCACGGACCGTCTTGCCTCAATTTTCTCTTTTTTTTTTTTTTAAATGAACTATCAACTTTTTTCCTAGGGGCCCATGTACTATGGGTTAGTATAAAACTTCAGATTAGGTTACTTTTGCAGTAATATATAAATACATTTAAAAACAAATACATCAAGTACAACTGCAAAAAAAAAGGTTTGCAGACTGGAAAAAAAAAAAAATAAAAAAATAAAAAATATTCCCAGCCATATTAACCCAGTAAAATAAAATGTGTTATTGGTATATATATATATATAAAAAAAAATAAAAAAATAAAAATTCCAATCTTCAATGAAGCAATCCACCATGCACAATTGCCCCAAGAGATGTTGAGGGCTACCATCATAACCCTACCTGAACCAGGTAAAGCCCCAGACAGATGCAAAAATTTCCGCCCTATCTGCCTCAAATTCCGACGCCAAATTGTTCGCTAAGGTCTTGGCAAACAGGATGGCAGTGGTCCTTACAGCTCTTGTACACCCAGACCAGTCGGGATTTGTGAAAGGTAGACAGGGCACTGACCCCACCAGACGAGTGCTGGATATATTGGAATCAATGAATCGGAGGGGCGAGAGGGGTCTCCTGCTTTCGTTAGATGCTGAGAAAGCTTTCGATCGGTTAAGTTGGAACTTCATGGAGGCCACATTGGAAAAAAAAAAAATACGGGTTTTCGGTCCAATTTGTGGCAGCAGTAAAGGCCCTATACAGCCGACCAACTGCGTGTTATACGGTGGCTTTACGTCAGAAGGATTCTCCATCACTAATGGCACACGCCAAGGGTGCCCCCTCTCTCCCCTCCTCTATGTCCTAGCGCTCGAACCATTGGCAACCCAAATTAGAACAAAGAAGGATATTAGGGGAGTGCAGATAAGCAAGACCGAGCACAAGCTTAGTCTTTTTGCAGACGACATGCTGCTAACCATTACAGAACCAGAGTCTTCTCTCCCGGTCCTTATGGATCTAATAGAAGAATATGGCAAAATCTCCTATTATAAGCTAAATAAGACTAAAACGCAGGCACTGCCAATTAATCTGCCCCAGACACAGACATTAAAACAACAATTTGACCTAGACTGGAGGTCAGACTATATCTCCTACCTAGGGGTTGTGATAACAAAAAAACTCCACCAAGCTCTTCAAAGCCAACTACACGAAACTGGCCACAGCCATTAGAACACAAATGGAAAAATGGAAGGGCAAACACATGTCCTGGCTGGGTCGAGCAGCAGCTTTTAAGATGACCCTGCTCCCTAAACTCCAATTCCTATTCAGGTCCCTGCCAATAGGCGTCCCGAAGTCATTCTTTGCCACTATGCAGAGACAGATGGACCGTTTCATAAATGGCCAACGTAAAGCTATAATCCCCACAAGGTTGTACCTTTCTTACCTGCAAATTCAAGCGTTCACACGCCGCACACAACTCAAAACCACAGAGAACGTAAACCAACACCACAACATGACACTCCTTGAGAAAATGTGCACAGGCCAATTACCCAAAAGAAGATTAATATGCTATGACTCGTTGTCAGCCAGCACGACATCTTTACCATCTTATACATCTGCATGGGAAAGGGAGCTGGAATACACAATTCCAAAGGGAAAATGGCATACAGCCTTTAGCGCACATAAATCTGTCATCGAACTGCTTAGAAAGATTTTAACGAGATGGTATCAGGTTCCTACGAAATTAGCAAAAATATATAAAACCATAAAAGACACATGCTGGAGGTGCGGAGAAAAAGGAGGCAACATGACACATGTCTGGTGGAAATGCCTGGCCATACAACCCTATTGGGACATGGTAGCCACTTTGCTAATAGAAGTAGTGAACAAACCCATACCTCGCTCCATTGAGACATTCGTACTGTTCATGTTGCCCAAAACACCAACTCTTGCACAAAGAAGTCTTCCACATCCTAATCTCAGCAAACCTACTCATTGTTAGAAAATGGAAATCACCCAAACTGCCTCGCTTGTTAGATATCACTACGCTAATCACTACCAACGGACAATATGAAAAAATTACACACACCAACTCCTTGAGACCTCACAAAAAGATGGAAGGTTGGGCCCTATGGGAACGGTGGCTATCCACACATTCTTATAGCAAACCCCACCATAGAGAGCCATGATCTGTTTACCAACCTCTTCTAAATCCACACGCACACACTTCCAGACTCAGCGGCTAGATTGGGGAAACAAACTTTCATACCACCAACTCATGACCAGACATCCCCAGCTGAGTCAACCCACTCCCTCCTTTACATGCCCTATTCCGACACTTTATTATAGAAATGTCTTGATAAAAGACCCATGGTGGGTTGAAACAGTGACAGCAAAGACGCAAGGTTTTTGGAAAGAAGTGAACATACACCATGTTCAAAGACTAATTAAGGCTACATTCCAAATTATTTAAAGGAATGGAGTGTGGAGATACACACACACACACACACCTTTATGTCCCTGTTAGAGGAACACTATAGCAAACTTGTCCCTATTTCAAATAAACCACTGCCCTAAAAATTAAGGTTTTCTTCCTCCGCAGGTGGAAAACCAACACTCCTTATAGAGGAGCATAGGGGACCTGAGGCTTACATGGCGAACACCTCACACCTTGTGTACATACAATACGTCCCTATGAGCTACAGCGGCACTTGACCAATTTTTTACTAGGTTAGTGCAGTAGAAGCAGCTACAGTGTCTGTCAGAAAGCAAGACATTATGTGTCTTTAACCCATAATGTAAACATTGCAGTTTACAACATTGTAATGTATTACATTGCAGAGTTAAAATGATTGGACCACTGCACCCAGACCATTTTATTGAGGTGACGTGGTGTGGGTGGCTTTAGTGGTCCTGTAACTACGGAATCTGCGAAACAAACTCCTCCAAATGTAACTACATACCCCATGTCAAAATGCCTGTACATAGTAACCACTTACCACTCTCCATTTCTTGCCCTCCAGCTCCAAAACAGTTGGTTCCTTCTTCTTTGCAACTGGTTTGCCTGAAGTGAAAACAGAAGGCTTCGGAGTAGTATAAGGTTTGGGTCCTCCCACTTTCTTTAGAAGAGGGTTCTTATGAGTCTTCATGGTATCTGGAACATGTTTGAGTGCTGAATGGAGGGGGAAGCAAAATAGAAAAAGGAAAAATAAATAGGTACAACAACATTTGCGTCAAACTCTTCCATAATTGTGGTTCATATTCTTATGTTCATGCATACAAAGATACAGTTTTCATAGTATGTGGTCCATACCAGGAACCAGGTTTTTTTTTTGTAATTTTTTTATTCTTTACTTAAATGACAAGCATACAAACTGCATAGTGTTACATCGATAAAAAACCTGCCTGAAAACATTTGATTGCTCCTAAATATTAACACAGATGGAAGACTTTACACATGATTTCCCAGATATTGTCCAAATCCGTGCCCTCTAACACCTCTCCCAGTTAAGCTTACCATTGGGAACCAGAATAACTTGTCTTACCTTTGGTGATGTCCTCTCCTTTGTTGAGTTCTGCAAATAGCTGGGAGCGAGTCACAGTGTCATCAGCTTGTGAAGGAGCAGATGATGGTGGAGGAGGTGGTGGTGGTGGGCCGCCTGGTGGAGGAGGTGGAGGTCCTGGTCCCACTTTTGGAGCTGAAGGAGCAGATGGTGCTAAAGGGGCACTTCCAGCTTTCGGTCCCTTTATTTAAGAAAGATTAGGAAGATCATACCACAAACAATAAGGGATACATGTAGCCAGTTTTGAAAATGGTATGTTTTTAACCACTATACTCACAGTCTTGCTCCAGCTCAGGCCAGTTGTGTGATGCTCTTTTATATAGGCCTGCAGCTCTGTCCAAATGTTCAAATATGCCCGAACCCAGTCCACATGATTCTTACTCCTGCCATGATATATGATGCATATTAAGCTAGCACTACTATAATTTGTGTTTAAAGGAATACTAAAATTGTAAGTAAAATAAAGAGACAATCTCTAAAATGTGTACAGCACATGTATACTGGAACACAGGACCCCCTTTTTGGGTAAACATCTGTATATTAAGACAATACACACATTAAGAATACGCTCTTTATAGAATTTCCAGTGGAATGAAATGGCTGAATTTCTGGCGCAGCGTGGATATTACTAGTACACTGCAGTACTTGCTGGCCACTGATCTTTACCAGGATCAAAAGAGTGTGAAAGATTCACACTAGGATTTGTTTAATTTTAATGTGTCTTTCTATCCAGTTCAAATGTGTGGAAGTGTGATAACTCCACTGGCCACTCGTCAGATGGCTACTACCATTCAGCATCTCCACCCTCTGAATGCACACTGAACTTTCCTCATAGAGATGCACTGATTTGATTAATCTCTGAGAAGATGCTGATTGGCCAGGGCTGTCTTTGACTTGTGCTGGCTCTGCCTCCTTGACAGTCTCAGCCAATGAATTGTGATTGGCTCAGACCACCACTTCTGCTGATGTCAGCATATAGAGACAGAGTCAGCAGCTGCAGACATGAATACAAGTAAGATTTTTCTACAATTTACAGAGGGCCAGATGGTGGTTTTAACACAATAGGGTCAGGAATACAGGTTTGTGCTCCTGACCCTACAGTGTTCCTTTACACTGTCAAAAGTGCTACTTACACATCTTTGTATTCCTTCAGCACTCTGTTGGTATAAAATGTGGCAGCGTCCATCATTTCTTTCACAAAAGGTCCTGGCTTGGGAGCCTTGAAGAGAAAATTGAATAAGAGGTATAGAACCACCTTTAATTAAGTGAACACACAGCTCTATCACCTTTAATCAACCCTGCTCAATCCAAAGCAATGTAAAATTTGAAAATTGCCGCTTCCCCAATGTTGCAGGGAAAAAAAACTAAATTAAGGAGCAAAATAATTAAATATGCAAACTGCTAAAGTGCGTCCTGTAAGATGTGAAATGCATTCTATCTTGTCTAGTGGTGTTCCACTATTAGTTTTGACTCTATTTGGGTTTATTTTCCTTGTACATTATTTTATTTACTGCCTGGTGTATTTCTATTAACCCCTTAAAGGACACAGCTTTAGAAGCTTGACTTACCCTTAAGGACACAAGCCATTTTTGCTGTTTCTGTTCAACTGCAATTTGCATCTCTCACACTTATTGCACCAACACAATAAGAGAGGGTAGAAAGGGATTTAATTTGATGTCACATATACATATAAAAAAAAACAACAACAAAAAAACAAAAACATAGGAGGGGTTAAAACAACTTCCCCCACAGTTTTGGCAATAACAGGTGTATAACAGGTCCCACATAGGAAAATTAAAAATAAATCAATGTAGGGGTCTTGAATTATATAAAGTACATAATATGTATAGGAATTCAGCTTATGTTGAAAGTTACAGGTCACAAAATACAAGGACTAAATAAAATTAAAATGTGAAATATTTTGGGCGTGGCCTGCACGCTGAAGCGGATGGTCGCACGGCACTAGTGCTCCGCTCCTAGATTAGCCCACGAAGCGACTAAACCCAGCATACCGCGAAACGAAACCCGGCATCACTCGCCCCACAAGCATGTCGCAGCAGAAGGGTAAGAAAATCCCTGACAGGGCTGAAAAATCGGGCTTCTTCGCGGCGAGACCCGCACCTTCCAGAGCCCAGGGCCAGCATGAGGCAGACCAAGATGGCGGCGGAGACGATACCCTCCCCCTCCATAACTCACCAGACCCTGGGAATCTCCCCGTGACACAGGAGTTCCTGAGAGCATGCCTGGACGAAATGTCCGACAAATTGCTCAACAAAATCCAAGCATCGGTCACTGCAATGGGCAAGGACATCCAGGAGCTGGGCGAAAGAACGGCCCACGTGGAAAACCGCATGGGCGAATATGAAGAGGCCCATAATGACCTGACAGACCACGTTAAAGCCCTGGAACAGAAACTCACCTCAGCCCAGCTCAAACTCTCAGATCTGGAGGACAGGTCACGGAGACAGAACCTGAGAATCCGGGGCATACCGGAATCGATAACGCAAGCTGAAATACCTGAATTCCTGACAGGTTTTTTCAAGTGTCTAATACCAGAAATACCGACTGAGATGATCCTGCTGGACCGGGCCCACCGGGTGGCCAAACCGAAGTTTCTACCAGCCGAGGCGGCGAGAGATACGCTGACCCATCTCCATTATTATCATGTCAAAGAGGCCATACTCAAAGCTGCCAGGAACCGCACAAACCTTCCAGCTAAATATGGCCATCTACAAATATATGCTGACCTATCGGCAGCCACCCTACAACGCCGAAGGGAGTTCAAGGAGACTACGGAAACGCTGCGGGACAACAAGATCCCATACAGATGGGGTCACCCGGTGCGCCTGATTATCCAGCGCAATGGCACCTTTACACATGTAACAACGCCGGAGGAAGGCCTGAGGGCCCTGAAACAATGGGACCTACCAATTCGCAAACAACACGGACGCACAACCTCACCACAGCGATTGAGACAGGACTGGAAGAAGGCGAAGAAGTAACCCAAACTCCATCAGCCCATATCCAGTTTTAAAGAGTACAGATACAGGACTGAATGGCGATGCCACCTGATTGAGGAATTCCCTAACTGGTATTTTCACCCCACACCCTATGACACCTCTAGCTTAAAACTTACTCATAGTTATGACTAATAAAAAAAAATAAAAAAAAAATAAATAAATAAATAAATAAATAATACCCACATATAGTTAACCTCAGATATACACAGCAGTTGGTTAACTGCTCCCACGATCTCTTCAATGCCAGCGGCCCTTTTTTAATAAAAAAAAAAAAAAGTTCTGCCATGGGGGTCACCCATCCCCTCAACTCACCCAAGGGAAGATTGGGGACGCATAGACCAATTGGCCTCTCATATGAGAGTAGCCCGGACAGAGACCTGTGGAACTAAGTTAATGAGAAAAAAAAAACACAAAAAAAAACAATGTTTTTGTTTATGTTTTTGAAATAACTATATCTTCACGTGGTATGCAGAACTATTGAGATAAGCGCTAGGGCTAATCGCACAAGATATTTGTTAATGTTTTTGTTGTTGCCTACCTCCATGGTACCCAACCTGGGTACTCAGCCCACCTTGGGCCCTGCGGTCCTTACCGCACTGTTTTCTATTTTTCTATTTTCCTGTATTAACCTCTTATCCTCCCTCCCCTACCCAGACCACACTAGACAATCCAAGGATATGTACCTGCATAACCGTACCGTTCCAGTACAGACACAGAGAGCCAGGAGAACAACGCGACCCGTCACGGATGTGCCTCACGCGGATCCGCCAGAGCAGCCACTCAGCAACACAGCAAGTATATACTCCACGGCACCACTGCCTATACACATCACACTAGACTCAAGTACCAAGACATACAAGGGCACTCGGGGAAAACACAAATCTAACGATGACAACGTTACAGATAGCACCCCTCACAGACCCTCCCTTTATGAAGATATATAGTCACAACGTAAGGGGGCTAAATTCCCCTGTCAAACGCCACCTATTACTTCACGACCTCCAAAAATCCCAACCAGACATAGTATGTCTCCAGGAGACACATCTCACCAAACCATATCTCCTTAAACCCCTCGCATACCCATACCAACAACACGCTACAGCAAAATCCAAAACGAAAGGGGTCTCTGTGCTAATCAGCAACCGAGTAGCATTCACCGAACACGACTTAGTCATAGACGAGGAAGGTCGATACATCATACTGGTATGCACAATCAATGACATTACCTACACCATAGCAAACGTGTACGCACCCAACTCAGAACAACGCAACTTCCTGCATAAAACACTAGCCAAAATAGCACCGATCCAGAGGGGAATGCTAATAATCTGTGGAGACTTTAACCACATTCTAGACCCTGGGTTAGACTTGTCCAAAGGTCCTAATACGAAAGGGAACAACCCAGCCAGGAGACAATGCACCACATACCAGAGACTACTAGACGAACATAATCTCTACGACACGTGGAGAGTCCTCCACCCAGAGGAGAGAGACTTCACGTTTTTCTCCTCGGTCCACAACTCTTACACGCGAATTGACAGGTTCCTCACGGAAGGAAAACATCTAACACAGGTACTTAAATGCACAATAGAGACTATTACGTGGTCAGACCATGCACCTATCACTATGGAACTAAAAGACAAATTTGAGGGCCACAACAGAAGCCCCTGGCGGCTGAACGAAACACTCCTACACGATAAAACTTTTGCAGACCACGTAGAAAACACACTTAAACACTACTTTAAGGAAAACACCGCACCAGAGATCTCAGCGGAGATCACCTGGTTAGCCCACAAACCCGTAATACGTGGGGAACTGATCAAAAGAGCACATTTCCTCAAACGGACGTCCCACGCACAAAAGGTCACATGGTACAAACAACTACACGACCTCAACAAACTAAACCAAACGAGCCCATCGCCAGAGTTAAAAAGCCAAATCTCAGATACACAAGACAAAATACAGGAGTTCGCAATTACGAGAATGGGCTACTCACTACGGAAATTGAAAGCCACTCACTACTCCCAGGGCAATAGAGCGGGCAAAATACTAGCCCAAAAACTCAGAGACAGACAGGCAACATCTAAAATAGCACACATACAGGACTCACAAGGAAACAAGTTGGTTGCCCCGAAAGACATCTGCGACGAATTTGCCACGTATTACGAAACCCTATACAACCTAAAGAAAGACCCACTGACGCCCCTAAAAACCCCCACACAGATGGACATTTACCTACAAGATGCCCACTTGCCAACCCTCTCACAACAGCACAAAGAAGCTCTCTCAGCCCCTATCACCCAACAAGAAGTAAGGGACACAATAAAAAATCTCCCGACGGGTAAAGCGCCAGGCCCTGACGGGTTTGCGAACACATACTATCACAAATACGCGGACGTCCTGGCCCCTGCACTGACCACTTTATTTAACAGCGCCATAGACAACCACTCACTACCATCGGAACTGTTACGAGCGCATATCACCACCCTCCCCAAACCAGGGAAATCCCCGACCTCGTGCCCAAATTTCCGACCGATATCCCTACTCAATACAGACGCCAAAATCTTCGCAAAACTTCAGGCCAATAGACTAAAATCTATCCTACCGGACCTCATACATGACGACCAAGTAGGTTTTGTGAAGGGTAGACAGGGCTCAGATAATACACGCAAAGTTCTAAACTTAATGCATAGCGCCAGAAAACTGGGAAGGGGTGGCCTATTCGTCTCCCTAGACGCGGAGAAGGCCTTCGACAGACTCAACTGGACCTTCTTAAACAGGGTACTCCACAGATTCGGCTTCCCCCCAAAGTTCGTGGCAGCGGTAGACGCACTATACAACGACCCATCGGCACAAGTTATGTACGCAGGATTCCCGTCACGGACCATAAAAATCTCTAATGGCTCCAGACAGGGATGCCCCCTCTCCCCCATGCTTTATGTACTGGCTTTGGAGCCACTGGCATCCAAAATCAGGTCAGACCCGAACATCCATGGCATCCCTCTAGGAGATAAAGAATTCAAACTAAATATATTTGCAGATGACATCCTCCTCACCCTAACCCAGCCATTCATATCCATGCCCAACTTAATGCGACAAATAGAACTTTTTGGCCACCACTCCCACTATAAATTGAATGTCTCCAAAACACAGGCGTTAACGATAGGAGTGACTAAAGAGGCGAGAAACAGACTGAAGGAGGCGTTCCCCCTAGACTGGAGGTCGGACTATTTAACATATCTAGGACTCAAACTCACGAAAAAACCCACAGATCTCTATCACGCAAACTACATTAAACTCTTAACAGACATCGACAACACCCTCAAATCATGGGAGGGGAAGTTCCTCTCATGGCTAGGGCGCATAGCAGCATTCAAAATGTCACTGCTCCCCAAACTACTATACCTCTTTCGAACACTACAAATACCCCTACCAAACACCTACCTCAAGTCGATCACCACATTATTTCTGAAATTTACGTGGCAACACAAAAAGAGCCGGGTAGCCGCCAGGGTCCTGCAGAGGAGGATCACAGACGGCGGCCTAGGCATCCCCAACCTATACCATTACTACAAGGCAGCAATCCTAAGTACTATGTTAGCCGCACATGACCCCCATTACACACCCCAATGGGCAGGAATAGAAGCCTTTTGGCTTAACGTAGACCACATACGTCATACTTTCTGGACTGATAGCGCTCGGAGACCAAGACCGTTCCAAGGCCTCCCCACTACTCGGTTGCTGATAGACACATGGGACGGGGTAAGGAACACTTTAGTTACCCATCCAAAGATACCGCTAGCGACCCCAATGCAATCCATCAGCCTGATGATCCCTACCTTTTACCACAAGACATGGATAGAGAAAGGCGTCACCCATGTACTACAATTGTATGATGGGGAGCACCTCAAAACCTTCCCTAGCTTACAGGAACAATTTGACCTACCCGCGAAACTCCTATTCTCCTACCTGCAAATCAAGTCCCTACTAAAACATAACCCTCCCAGAGCCCCTGAGAAGGTACCGCAAGAACTAATGTCTAAGTTCGAAAACATGTGCCTTTCTAACAAACCCAACGCCAAGTCCCTATCCTCATGCTACCACTTAATCTTACACAACCAACCACCGATCCAAGACAACTACCAAAAGGCATGGCACACAGACCTAGGCATAGAGCTAAGCCCAGAACAATGGAAAAAAGCTTACTCAGCACACAAAGGCCTGACATCATGCGCCCAACACCTAGAAATACAACGGAAACTACTGTACCGTTGGTACCTAGTGCCAGAAAAAATACACAAAATATGGCCAGCCTCTACAAACATATGCTGGCGCTGTGAGAAAGAAGTGGGCACGATGTTCCACATTTGGTGGACATGCCCCGCACTCGCACCGCTCTGGACACAAGCCATACTTATCGTATCAGATATACTAGGCTACCAAGTGGACAAAAACCCTGCGCAATGCATGCTGTACGTATTCCCCGACAGAATGCCCAAAGCTCACCAAGCGATACTGTACCACACGCTAGCATCAGTACATATACTCATAGCGAGACACTGGAAATCCAAAGACATACCGTCATGTACACATTTAAATAACCAAATCGCACTCAACTGGTCTTATGAGGCCATGTATCAACTCCAATTTGGCCCGAGGCCTGCATTAGCTAAAGCGCAACTACTGTGGGATAGATACATAAAACAAGCTGACAATACCGCAACACATTGACTACTAGCGGACAAAGGCAAAATCCGTGGCGGGGGACTGGGGAGCCCTGGTCTGGAACCACGAAAGATCAGACTCCGAGAAGTAGAAGAAACTTGCCGCCCACCAGCTCTTCACCATACAAGAACCCCTACCAAATCACCTGCGAACCCTTGGGTTATACCTCCAAGAAACACCCATGGATGCACCTCCCTACCCCCCCTCCCTCTCTCTGTCTCCCCCCTCTCTATACCCCCCTATAACTATACTTTCTCCCCAAAAAAGTTTGAGACATGCAGCTGCAAGATTCATGTACCTAAAGTTGTTAAGTAGTATTGGAAGGTTTACCATGATGTTACCAAATTACCACACCATGTATGTAAGCATGATCAGAATATCCAAACTTCCAGCACAAATGTAACACAGCTGCATGGCTAAATAAAAATTGTCAAATTCAAAAAAAAATTAAAATGTGAAATATTTTAAAGGTTGGTATGTTTGTCTTCTAAGTTTAGTAGCATCACAAAAAAAAAAAAGTTGCCACACAAAAGTATATATTTATGTCAAGTAGACATCACAGGCCACTTAACCAAGATTTTTACACTTTATGAAGTCACTTCATTGGCAATCTCTGCTAAATATTGGAGTAAAATTTTGTTTTTTTTCCTGTATTTTGGCATATACACATTTATTTTTTAATGTGTATATCGTAAAGCTCGTGTGTTATTCCTGTACAGAACCACATATTGTGTTCAGCTACATCTGCTGAGTATAATGATAGCTCCATTGTATGCCTTTGGCACTATTCTGTGAAGCTACATATAAGAGACAAAAGATAAATTTCTATCGTTAGGCCCTTCAAATCCATCCCTTCAAATTCTATGTCTCATTTTGGGGCATTATAGCAGTTTCACTGTTCAAATAACATTACAAAGGGCTTCTATTTGACAAAGCAGACACTCCAGTCTATCTTATATGGCATATATTGTGCCTTAATGGGTCACAATTTTTTCACCAATTTAGGTCACTGTTTGTGGTGAGGGGAAAAGAATACATAAATACATTTTTACATTTTTGCAGGGTATTTCTAACACTACATCTCCCATAATGCTCTTAATTATGATTTTATTTATATAGCGCCATCAGATTCCGTAGCACTGTACAATGGGACTCTTACACCCATAACGCTAGCAAAGCATCATGGGACGTGTAGTCCAAAACATCTGGAGTGTCGAAGGTTGCCTATGCCTGGCCTAGACACTATTTTGTGACGTTAGTGCTGTAAAAGAGACATGACAAGTTCAGGTTTTTAAGTGTGAATTTTCATAGATGGGTCCATGTTCCATTTTGGAGCACTTGAGCAGGCTACATATTCCAGCTAGACCATAAAGGCATGCCATTTCTTAAAGAAGACATCCCAAGGTATTTCAAAAGGCCTATTTTGAAAGTTAGTGTGGGATCAATTTTTCACTAATTTGTTCAAGGTATAGTGGTAATGAGCATTGTTTAATGTATTTTTTTCCCCTTTGTTTTTTTTACTGTTAACCTCTAACTAACCTAGCAGTAAACAATTTCCCACTCACCTCACTAAATATATAATTTGAAAATGTTTAATTAACCCCTTAAGGACACATGACATGTGTGACATGTCATGATTCCCTTTTATTCCAGATGTTTGGTCCTTAAGGGGTTAAATAAATTTAGCCCTTGAGGGTTAAAATACTGTGATCTGTATTTTGATCACTGCAGTCCGTGATCAAATGGCAACACATAGATAAATGTTTATTTAAGCAAGGTAAAAGGGGTGGAATTTTAAACTACTTGTTTTTTTGCAGAGAGAAGATCAGCACTGGTCCATCTCCCTGCACTTCACACTGAACACAAAAGTGCAGGGTGTCGGACCAGGATTCCCTACAGCAATCACAGCTGCAGGGACGGCGCAATCGAGTGTTGCTCGTCTGCCTGATATAACGAAGGCAGACTGGAGCAGCGTTAACCCAGAGATTAAGGTGATCTGGGGTTAACTTTAGTAAATGTCAGAAATTTTCTGTCATGCGCCCTGCGAAGGGGTTAAAAGTGACACTATTGTCACTAAAACAACTTCAGCTTAATGTAGAAGTTTTGATGTGTAGATTGCACCCCTAAGTCTCACTGCTCAATTCAATGCTACTTCGGAGTTAAATCACTTGTTTATGCATCCCTAGTCACACCTCCCTGCATGTGACTCAACATTTCCTGTTCCTGAACATTTTCCTGTAAATAATCAGCTAATGTTTACACTTCCTTTATTGCAAATTATATTTAATTTAGAATTTCTTATCTCTTACTTGTAGACCCTGCAGGAGCCTACTGTATGTAATTAAAGGGACACTAGTCACTAGAACAACTACAGCTTAATGTAGTAGTTCTGGTAAGTATAATCATTGCCTTCAGGCATTTTCATACAAATAGAAAAGGCAGTGTTTACATTGCCCCTAGGGACAACTGCAAGTGGCCACTCCTCAAGTAGCCACTGGAGGTGCTTTCTGTCTTTGAACGGTACTGCTGCCTACTGTGCAGCACTGAGTCTCCACGCTCTGCATAGGAACACTGAATTTTCCTCACTATGCATTGATTTAATGCATCTCTATGAGGTGGTGCTGATTGGCCTAAACAGTGTTTGGCTCCGCCCCCTCGTGGAAGGGAAGCATTGAATTGGCTAAATAGTCAATTCTGATAATGTCACCAATGGGACAGGCCCAGCGCGGACGGACCCATGGAGAGCTGAAAATAATAACCCATTCTGAGGCGGCAAGCCACCTGAATGGTGGCTTTTGCACTATATGGTCAGGAATACACGTTTGTGTTCCTTTAAAATTCAAATTACAGAGCAAGTGATAAAAACGTTTAAAATAAGTTACATCTCAGACCCATCTCGTGGATAGGCAGAATTCACGCTGTTAAAATGAACATCTTGCCTTTTTGTTTCAAGTGCTGCCCATCCGCGTCCTCAGATCATCCTTGCAGCGGGCTATAGGGTCCTTCGTATGGCAGAACAAAAGTCACAGAATTTCCAGATACATTCTACATAGGCCAAAGACAAGAGGGGGCCTGGGTCTCCCAAACATATATTACTATTACGCAGCGACTCAATTGACTCAAGTGGCACTTTCCCCCAGGAGACCGAAAATGGGCAGACGTGGAATCTCTCATGACGGGCGCGGATATTGCACAGCTCATGTGGGTCCCTAAAGAACACAGACCCGAGATAAGGGTCACCTGCCCGACTAATCAACTCATTGAGGATGTGGGACTCCCTTAAACATAAGTTTCACTTAGAATCTGACCCGTCTCCTCTAATGCCATACTTACGCAATAAGGCCTTTGCCCCCAGAATGACAGCTAGAGCCTTCAAAAATTTAGAGCGAATAGGGTTACAAACGCACTTGCCAATTGTATCAGAGGTCATACCTTTTGATACGTTTAGACAGCGGGACACCTTACCCCCTCAGATTTTTTCCGATACATTCAACATAAAGATTATGCAAAATTAGCACACATCAAAGTGGCAGCCCTGCAAAAGAAGACTTTCTTTGAACGCATTTGCCTTCAAGAAACCATACCTAAAGGCATGATAAAGCTTAAATATGCTCACCTCTGTTCAGAAGCCGGGGATTGGGGTAAGCTAGCCTATACGGATCAATGGGAGAAAGACCTAGGGGAAATACTGGAAGGCATATAATGGCAAGAGATTTGGAAGGCTAACCATACCTTTTCCGTATGCGTTACCCGACAGGAACAATCTGTCAAAACTATGCTTTGCTGGTATACTACACTGGTTAAACTACATCAAATGAGAAAAAACCCTACAGATGTGTGCTGGAGGGGTGCCAGCCTGCGGGGGACTTATGTCCACATGTGGTGGGAATGCCCTCAGATGGTAAAATTTTGTAAACGAATACAGGCCCTGTTGTCGCAGGTTTTTTCTAGAGCCCCAGACCTAGATCCATGGCTATTCTTATTAAACAGATCCATAGATGTTTGGACTAGGCATGAACAAAAGCTCATCCACAAAATTACATTAACAGCTAGAAGAGCCGTAGCCTCAAATTAGCTTAAACCAGGCACACCACCAGGAGTGATAAACAGGTTGGCAGGAGTGATAAACAGGTTGTCCATCAAGTGGACCTCTTTTATCCTAACGGCTAGGATAAGGGGCTCCTTAAACTTTTCAGAAGATCTGGGAACCCTGGGAAAGCTTTAACCTGGGAAGTTAATACAAACATGTCCCCGCCTGACAAACTACCCACTCCATTCATGGAAAGCCCCATCCCCTCTCCACCCTTTCGGATCTTAACATTTTCCTTTCTTTGTTTCATAAAAATCGAAAATATTGACCACCATGAGGCATTCTTGAGAGACAGACATATTGCAAACATGGAATGTCGGAATTGTTGGCGATCTTTCCTCGCCATACACCGCAGTGTTAGGCGATCTCCGATGATGGAACAAAATAATGCTTAGCACATGACAAAAAAAGAGAAAGCCAGATACCACCTATAACAACACGCAAATCAGACACGACAATTACGATACATATGTCATCACAGTAAGCTTTATATGTCAAAAAGCGGAATATACGATCTGATTTTAAACTGTTTCTGTTAGTTACCGAATATATCTGCAAATTTTTGTCTCCTTTATTGTATGTCAATACAAAATAAAGAATAAAAAAAAAGTTACATCTGATTGAAAATGTAACTACTCTGTTTTCATGCATGCTGTGTCAGTCACAGCCAGGGGAGGTGTGGCTAGGGCTACAAAAACGAACCAGAGATTTAACTCCTAAATGGCTTAGAATTGAGTAATGAGACTTCAGAGGCATGATCTATACACAAAACCTGCTTCAGTAAAACTAAAGTTGTTTTGGTGACTAATGTCCCTTTAACATTTTATATAATAATTAACTAAAAACAGTATCTATTCATTACTTTGGAGATTGTCAAGAGTGCAATATATTCCTCATTTGTCAGTCATTTTAGTCAACCCTGATCAGTGCACCAATGTTAAACTCAAGAGGCAGTCAACTGGCCAGATCACCTGCCTTGAAAAGACTTCTCATTGAGCTGCATTAGGAAGTCTGATTGGACAGCCACAAAAAATCTGAGTGGGGTAAAAAGGGGAGAACTTGCAAAAGAGGCAGGAGACAAGAGATCTGCAGCTTTTGCAAGTTGTTTTTAGAAGGGAAAAAAAAAAAAAAAAATCTCACACACACGTTTTCATTTGGAGTTTATCTACAAAGAGTGATTTTTTTTTTTTTTTAATGAATACATTTGGGCAATGGCATGTCCTTTTAATCTACTTCTTTGCATCACTCACCATTGCAACCCAGCCTAGGGCTGGAATACTCTCACTAACTGCTGACAGATGGTTAAACAGTTTACTTCCTCGATTCTTCTCTCGAAAATTTTGGATTTCCTGAATCTTGCTAGACAGAGGTGCAAGAAAAGTAGACAGATCCTTCTATGATAGAGAAGAAAAAAAAAATTTTTTTAGATGGTACAGTTGGAGAATATGAGGGGGAAACCCACACAAGATACAGCCAACAAGCAAAGAACCTAACCACTTACATCTGCTGGCTGCTGACACTGAGATGCTTTTACCAGAACTTCCCGCTGTAAATTTATACCAGTGAGGACCATCTCAGCCTAAAAGAAAAAAACAAAACAGGGCAATTAGTGAATGCCCTGCCAGCTATATAAACCACACATTCTGTTCGCTCTACAAATGTTTTCATTCTTGAAGGGACACACTATTCACCAGAGCAACTACAGCTTATTGTATTTGTTCTGGAGAGTATAATCATTCCCTTTTGCAGTAAACACTGTCTTTTCAGAGAAAATGCAGTGTTTACATTACAGCTCAGGGACACATCCACTGGCCACTCATATGGCTGCAGCACTACCATTGAGTGTATCCACCCTCTGCATGGAGACACTGAACATTACTCAGATATGCATTGATTTAATACAATTCTATGAGAAGATGCTGATTGACCAGGGCTGTGTTTGGCTTGTGCTGACTCTGCCCCTGATCTGCCTCCATGACAGTCTCAGCCAATCCTATGGAAAAACATTGTGATGGCTCAGAGAATCACTTCTGATTATTTCAGCCAGATCAGGGGTGAGCCAGCAGATTCAGACTGGAATAAAAGTACGATATTATATTTAGTGGGGAAGGAGGGAGGGGCATGGTGGTTTTAACACTATAGGGTCAGGAATACAGGTTTGTGTTCCTGACCCTATAGTGTTCCTTTAAAACGAGTCTCATCAGTTTATTACTATTGCACTCACACCACTGATGCTATATGCCTTTCTGATCAATAAAGACATATCAGTCATTAGTCACCATACATGCTTTTCAAAAAACATCGGTCACCCAACAATACCAATGTTGATATATTTCTTACTACTCCTTTATAGCCCACCAATCTTCTTATGGATCAAGCCACATGTGACTCAAGATTTTGCCACATCATATCCAGTCACTTTAGGCAACAAAACTCTCATACTGGTGCTCAACTACCTAATTAATGGAGAGATCACACTTCATTAACATAATATCAGTAACTTGACACTTACCTGTGTCTTTACATCTCCTCCAATATCACTGCTGTATTTTAGGAATTCTCCCACAGGTCCATTAATTAGGGAATCGTATGCCTGGACATACTTGGCTGCATCTACAGATAAGTTTATGACAGTGATTAAAAGTGTAATAAAGAATATAATACACTTAAATTTGCAATGAAAGCTTGTTTATGCTCACCTGCAGATTCAACTGCACCAACTGATCCTGCAGCAAGGCTTTCAAGTTTCACCACAGCTTTCTCCAGACGAGTAACCAGACTTTGCATGTCTGCCATGGTTTAAAACTTTGAAGGAGGAATAAGAAGCATTTGTTTTTAGGACACAAAATAAGTCAATTTTTTTAATGTAATTTAGAAAAGGACACCAATCTCTCGGTAGACATTAAAAGTTTGAAAACTACTACTGAGCATCTCTTCATAATGCATATCCCTTCTAATGCTAGGAATGGAAAAAAAAAATAAAAATATATATATATATATATATATATATATATATATACACACATATACATATATACACACACACACACACACACACACACACACATACATATATACACACATACAAAAGAAGTCTCTTGCACTCACGCTTAAATTTCCCTTAAAGGACCACTATAGTGCCAAGAAAAACACTAGTTTTCCTGGCACTATAGTGCCCTGTGGGTGCCCCCACCCTCAGGGACCCCCTCCCGCTGGGCTCTGGGGAGAGGAAGGGGTTAAACTTACCTCTTTCTCCAGTGCCGGGCGGGGAGCTCTCCTCCTCTACAGCTGAATGCGCAGCCGGAGCTGCGCGCGCAGCCAGTCTCATAGGAAAGCATTCATAATGCTTCCCTATGGACGCTTGCGTCTTCTCACTGTGATTTTCACAGTGAGAAGCATGCAAACGCCTCTAGCGGCTGTCACTAGAGGCTGGATTAACCTATTTATAAACATAGCAGTTTCTCTGAAACTGCTAGGTTTATATATTTAAAAAAAAAAAAAAAAAAAATGGGTTAACCCTAGGTGGACCAGGCACCCAGACCACTTCATTAAGCTGAAGTGGTCTGGGTGCCTATAGTGGTCCTTTTATTGCCGGTGTTCTAAATAACCAGGGCTCTAGTATCCAAAAGGTAGCAGCACTCACGGAGTTAAAAAAAAAATCCAATCTTTATTTTAAGATGTTAAAAACAAGTCCAGGACTTTTCATTTTTTTTAATTAGCAGAAGTGGTGTTCATATGACACATACAAATTTTCTCTAAGGCAATGAATGAACAAAGCAGTAAAATGAGAAAATAAATTTTATGATTTTTCCCCATAGACCAGAAGGAGAGGCCTACTTCCTGGAGCAGGCAAATCTCAAGGGCAGTGAATTATGTGCTCAAAATATGGATCTTTAAAACATTTTTTAATTGTCGATGGGTTGTTTTGCATATCAACAATAAAAAAAATAAGTCATTTTTGCCTTTACAAGCGGTCAAAATGTTGCATATATGCAAATATATTTGTGAAAACACGTTTTAGACACCAGGAAAGGGAAGTTTACCCACCAAAAGTAAAGTTTCAGTTATCAGCTACCCCTTCGTGTTACACAACCAAGTTAAAGCAAAGCCAGCTAAGGAACTGACATGTCTGAGCGCAGAACCTGCACATTCCTCGAGAACTTTTTTTTTTTTTTTTAAACAAAGAAAAATGCATTACTTTGCCTATACAATACTACCTTTAATAATGTACAATCAAAATGTAGTGGTTCTTTCAGTATAGCTTGCATAAAAGGAAAGATTGAGGGAGCCAAAAAAACCTAGTTCATAGGGCACATATAAGTTTTCTCGAAGGCAATGAATAAACGATTGTCATGTCTAGTATGCAGAGCGTACTTTGTGAAAAGTATCTTCTCAACACAGGAAGTCATTACTGTGCACTTATTAGTACATGCTGTGCTGAAAGGAAAGTCTTATTTCCGATCCCACCCAGACTTTCTACACGGAGTGTGCTGATAGCCATACACAGCACCACAAGACCACCTGTCCATTTATATACTAGAGTGTCAGCTCTTGGGCACCACTACCAATATTTCCCAATCCTGTTTAGTGTGGAAACCTTAGATTTCTGACTTCGTACGATAATGAGACATGGACATTATGCAGAACTCGTAAATACATAGAATATGAGTGCTGACACATGGAATACATGCAATCTCTAGTTTATGCCCAAACTTGGCTTCTGCTATAACACCGTATCATGCCCGTACACCCCCATACCATCCCATACCATCCACCCCCCGCCATATACAGACTGTATATTGTACTGTACACCCCCCATACAGGCTGCCATACTCACTGACACCCCGAGCACGCTCACACCTGCCCGCTATTCTCTTCTCGCTCTACCTTCCAGCAGCCCCGCCCTGCTCACCTCCGCTGCTGCTCACTCACTGCCCCACTTCCGGTGTGCCGCCGCTCCCCAGCATGCACCGCGCCGAGCCTCTTCCTGACACTAACAGGGGAGGGAGACACCCAGGCCAGGGATGGGGCGGATATAAGGCATTTGCGGTTCACTTCTCTTTTTGAAATTCCTGCATCACTATCCCCTATCAGCCCCAGGAGGGCTCTGGCAGTACACAGTAATTTACGGTGCGCCTTCATATTTGTTTCTGGCACGAAGTCCGCAATAGAAACGCACTGCGACCCCTGCGCTTCCCAGTGAGAGCTAAACTAGAGTCCCAACTTAGACCCTTAAACCAGGTGTCATAAAACACTCCGTACAGAGCCCAAATCTGTGGGAATGCCAAACATTCTGCCAGCAGTAAAGATGGCCGCACACCCATCCAGGAAGGAACGGGCTCATCGCTGTCACCGAGTTGAGTGAAGGGAGGGGGAGGCACGTGATATGGTTGGATGACATCACCCGGTCTCATTTCTCCAAGTGTTACCAAAGATGGTCACAGAGCGGCCAGAGAAGAGAGGGGCGGGGCTAGCCTAGATCTGACCAATAGATAAGAGCGACTTCAAGGTGTTGGAAGGGAATTGACGTGGCGCAAGATTAGAATGTGGAACACAGTGTTTCCAGCTGGTGATAATCAATACCATGCAACCTATAGACAGCCACTGCTTCACAGGCATTCTACCTCTCACAATGCTTTTGTGAAGAACATTTCAGTGAGCACAAATTAGGAAACTATGTCAGAAATATGAAACTTCACATTACATAAGAAAATTAATATATATTTTTGTTCAGTTTGCACATTAATAACAGTTGATTTGTTTGATCCAGGATCTAAAAATAGACAGGTATAGGGAGGTATGACTGCACACATATCACTCGGGGGAGAGTGAACTGCCTGGTTGGGAGGCCTTCAGGTAAAGTGTGTACATAAATTTAGTGCCTTGCATAAATAATCGACCTTTGCACATCTGGATCTTGTTTGCACTTTACTAATCTTGATAATTTACTAATCCAGACGCACCCTTCATCTTTCCAGCCTTGTGTTTAAAGGACCACTCTAGGCACCCAGACCACTTCAGCTTATGAATTGGTCTGGGTGCCAGGTCCAACTAGGATTAACCCATTTTTTTTATAAACATAGCAGTTTCAGAGAAACTGCTATGTTTATGAATGGGTTAAGCCTTCCCCCAAAGCCTCTAGCGGCTGTCTCATTGACAGCCGCTAGAGGCGCTTGCGTGCTTCTTACTGTGAAAATCACAGTGAGAGCACGCAAGCGTCCATAGGAAAGCATTGATAATGCTTTCTATGCGATTGCTGAATGGCGCAGCTCTTGCCGCGCGGGCGCGATTCAGCCGACGGAGGATCGAGGAGGAGAGCTCTCAGCTGAAAAAGGTAAGTTTTACCCCTTTTCCCCTTTCCAGAGCCGGGCGGGAGGGGGACCCTGAGGGTGGGGGCACCCTCAGGGCACTATAGTGCCAGGAAAACGAGTATGTTTTCCTGGCACTATAGTGGTCCTTTAAGAGCTTTTGTGGGAAACTCCCACCCTACCTGAGCAGAATGCGCTCCACGGCAAATCTTCCCCAAGCCTAAAATCCTTTAAGAGATCCCTCTCTACATATCTCAAAACAGAATGCACAAGTAATGCTTGATTATATATTTCCTACCTGTTCTATGTTAAATTTGGATATATTGTGTATTAATTTTGTTTTTGTATTTTATTGTACCATATTGTATCAATGCAATGTTTTGTGGACCTAGGACATACTTGAAAACGAGAGAAATCTCAATGTATCTTTCCTGGTAAAATATTTTATAAATAAATAAAATAGCACAAGCTCTCTGAGGTTACATTGGTGTCTTTTTTTTTTTTTTTTACAGCTTCCCAACAGGCCTGAGGGCTGGGCTTCTTTGTGTGTTGTTTAAATCCAAGAAACTGAACATCCAAGTGTAAATCTGTGTGTGTATTAAGGTCCTTTTACAAATCTCTATACCAGGGTTTCCAATTAATTTTTCCTGTAGAACCCTTTGACATAGTGTATCAACATCCCCCCCCCATATGTGTTTTTGTATGTGCGGTGTATGCATCTGTGTTAATATGTGCCAGTGTGTTTATCTGATACACAGGTACACACATAGTGGCACGCAGATAGATAGATACACACACACACACACACAAACATCTTGACTCACAAATACACACATACTCAGATACACACATTGACATACACAGGCACTGATATGCACTGGTACACACCTTGACACACAGATACACACAATATGACATACATTAGAGTAACCCTCCACACTTACCTTGTGTGTCCAGGAGGGAGGCTTGCTTTGGTACTGGTGATGTTTTGGAACCATGAGTCCAAATGTTGACTCTCTGCAATGGAATAATTCTCCCTTATTAGTTTGACCATATTATATTATACTTTAGGGTTGTGGCTTGGGGTATGGTTAGGGTAACATCTTGGGCAAGGGCTGGTTAGGATTCCTATTATTAGAGCTAGGGTCAGAAATTTGTTTCCTGCTAATACACTGAAATTAAAGGCTGTGGACTGCTCAGTGGCATTCACCCCCAATGCTGTATGCTGTTTCAAACAAATATAAATATTATATGATCTGCCCATTATTTCAATGGGCAGATCGTGTTTAAAATTTTTTTTATATATACACAACATAATAGAGATTTTTGTTATTGTTTAACACCTTTTTATTGGACTAATGGAAGAAGGAAGTAAAATAAGTGTGGTCAAAATATCAGTATATACAGTATCTCACAAAAGTGAGGACACCCTTCACATTTTTGTAAATATTTTATCTTTTCATGTGACAACACTGAAGAAATTACACTCTGCTACAATGTAAAGTAGTAAGTGTACAGCCTGTATAACGGTGTCAAATTGCTGTCCCCTCAAAATTACCACACACAGCCATTAATGTATAAACCGTTGGCAACAAATGTGAGTACATCCCTAAGTGGAAATGTCCAAATTGGGCCCAAAGTGTCAATATTTTGTGTGGCCACCATTTTTTTCCAGTACTGCCTTAACCCTCATGCGCATGGAGTTCATCAGAGCTTCACAGGTTGCCACTGGAGTCCTTTTCCATGATGACATTGTTGTAGATAATTTACTGCAAACCAATTAGTTTGAATGACTATCTGTTCCTGTCCAAATTAAAGATAATAAAGTTGCGTGCACGCAGAAGTAAATTCACACTGAGACACAAAGTTCAGGTTAATGAAAGAACTTCAGAGAAGTTTAATGGCTTCTGACAGAAAATGGGTGCGCAGACCCTTTTAAAGGCATTATTACATCATTGAAGAAAATCAAGATAACAGCAAATAGACACTATTGATTGGTCCAGGTGTTAAGTGGTTAGTTAGGTACCCTCCTATCAAGAGGTGATGTCATCCTTGACACGGGAGTGGACACAAGATGTAGGCGCCATCTTGTTAGCACGAGGTGTTCACTCGATGGGAGGGGTGCTTTGGCAGCCATCCATTTAGAGTGTAGCTGGCACGGTTAGTTTCTCAAGGTTAGGTTTCAAGGCTTTTAGTAAATACACATTTTATCAAAGCTATTTCTTGCTGGCATGCAAATTCTATGTTCTATAGACAAAGCTTTCTTGTAAAACTATGGGGCCTCTTAGAGGTATAGCAAGAGGATTTAAAGGGGCCTTACAGATTTATAGAGGCCTAATAATTCTACAACAGTCCCCCCTAAAATGTTATTTGCTAAAAGACAAAACTTTATTTGTTAGTATCAGAAGAAGTATTAGCCCAAAGACACAGAAACCCCATGACCGCTGACTTAGTGTTAATGCAAAGTGCAAGTCTATCCCTCTCTTGACCCTAACAGGCTGCAGCACATCCGTCAGTACGGTTCAGGAACACTCTTCACTCCGCTGGTAACCCATAGTGGCTTATCCACTACTTCTCCGTACGGCAGTCTACCCATAAAGACGGACGCTGTCCCTGTACTGTCCCTTCCTAGACTTTCTGCACTTCATCAGTATAAGGGAGAGTTTGTAGCGGAATACAGGGTGAGATGAGGTCTTGATCATCGATTGTCAGATGAGTGAAGGTTGGTGTTGCTTGGTCTACAGTTTTCTGCAGGAATTTCCTTAGGCATGGGAGGACACAACAAATGAGAAGAGCGAGAATAAAAAGAAAAATTAGTAAGGCAATACCAATCTGGACTAAAGCTCTCTGCCAACCAGTCATCCAACCAAACCATTTTTCCCAGGGATCAGTAACTCCAGAGTTTCTCTTTAACTCTTCTGAGAGTCTATTTAATTTAGCTATGGCCAGAGTGACTTTACCATTAGGACCTGTGTTTTCTGGAATGTAAGTGCAACAAGTCATAGTGTCGGGAAGTATTTTACAGACTCCCCTTTTTCGGCTAAGATCATGTCTAAGGCCAGTCTGTTCTGGAAGGTCATTTGGGATGTGGCCTGTAATTGCTCGGCCAAGCCCTGGAGGGCATCCCTGGTGTAGTTCACGAAGCGCTGTTGGTTGTAATAGATAGAATTAATCCAATTAAGGTTTTTGTTGGCAGTGACTATGGTAAAAAGTGATTCAAAACCTGCAGCTACTTCATCTCTAGCTTTAAATTCATTAGGTACCCCCCTAGGCACCCCAATGGCATCTATGTAAATGTGTGGGTCAAAACTGCCTTTTACTGGGGTTTCGCGCCTTACTCTGGCTGATGTATGTGGAGGGTTGTATGTGTCATGATGATTATCAGAAATAATATGAATGGGCATGATAACTTTGGCCAGGGTACACTCACCCCACCACTCAGTTTCCAGCCTAGATCTTAACTGTAGATCCCCACATAACCAGTAAATATCCCCCAATGACCTGGTATGGTGTTGCAACAGGCGTATAGGAACAGTTCTGTAAGTGGCGCAATAACCTTTAGAAAAGTTACCCATGAATTTACCAATCCCGTCATACATGGCATAACAAGTGTAATTACCTCTATAGACTGTGATTCCATCTGGTGGCTTAACATTTTCAACTAAGAGAGGGTATTCTGCCGTCCATGCCATGCAGAGGGACCTATTAAAGTCATATTGGTAGGCAAAAAGGCTTAAGAAGCAATCTTCTATCTCTAAAGGGAGATTAGGGGGACGGTGCCAAGGTGGGGTCGGGCACCGCCACATACATAACATGCTGTTTTATTATGTTTGTTGGCATTATACCTCATCCATTCTAACCACAAATTAATGTCATTGAATCCAGTTTCAGCGGCCATGGTATCTTCAAAAGTGGGGTTAGCGATGGTCATCATATCTTTAAAGGACTGGATATGTGGTTTTAGCGGATTTGGGACCATATGATCAGCCCCTTGCCACTCTGGAGAGTGGTACATATCTCTGAGGTAGAAATGACCTAATTTGTTGTAGGAACCTTTCTTCTAATACATTCCCATTACATATCGGTCTGCATCCTCGGGGCCAGGATGTTCAATATTTAACATTAATTTCATAGGGGTACTTCCTCCAGGCTTTCTTAAAGTCATTCTTTGAAGGAGGGATCTACCCTGATTGTCTATCTTAGATAAAGCACTTTGGGTTTATAACCCCAGACAGGCCCAGTATTCCATCCCGCAGCCCCCCAGTAGTTACAGTCATAACCCCATTGTTCATCTACTACACAAACGTAAGGGTCTTTTGCTTGTGGTATATCTTTATAAATGGCTTGAATCTGTGACTTAGGGAATGGGCACTTTACAATATCACAGTAATCAAAAGTGAATGTAGCCACATGGGTACATGATGAATTATACCAGAAAGTGTACCCACTAGCATCTTTGGTGATGGCCACCTGCTGGGCTTTAAGGAGGCCAACTAAGGAGATAATGTACCAGAGGCACAAGGTTGCATAGAGTTAGCTTCCTCTGGGGCAGGTGTCTTCTTGCAATGGGAAGCGTGGATCCAGTTAGGCCTTCCGGCCAATTTGACAGAGGTAGGGGAGATCAGGAGAACTTGAAACGGTCCGTCAAATCTTGGTTCCAGGGTGTGTTTTCGCACAAATTTCTTGACCAGAACCCAGTCACCGGGGAGCAGACTGTGGTTGCCTGTGTCAGAATCAGGATCTGGAATTTTAGAGAAAACTTGGACATGGATTTTGTTCAAAGCATTTGCGAGTTCAGTTACATAATCTACTAAAACATCAGTTTGAAGTTGTAGTTGTTGGGGAAAATAGCAACCTAGCCTAGGTGCAGTCCCAAATAGAATCTCATATGGGGACAATGAGGTAGTATTTTTGTACAAGAGCATTCATTAGATCTTTTGATAAATGTGCAGGTCTGTGTGCCCATTGTACGACTGCTGGGTACAAATTCTTAGGGAGGCAGAACTTGAGGTTGTTGGAGTACACTCCATCCTTCAGAACCGCCCCTTTCTGTTTCCACTTCTGTATTTCTTCAGGGGCAACTGTAGCCTGTTGTTCCCGCAGGATTTTTAGGTCAGTTGGAAGAGTCTGCAGAGTAAATATGGGAGTTTCTTCATTTCCGGACACTCTTCTTTCCACTTCCTGTGGTTCTTTTGCAGCTTGTTTTGAAGCCTGATCAGCTAGATGGTTGCCCCTTGCTTCATCTGAGTCCAACTTCCCATGTGCTTTTATCTTCAAAATAGCCACTTCTTCTGGGAGTAGGAGGGCGTCCATCAGCTCCTTGATTGCGGAACCGTGCTTGATTGGTGTACCGGCGGTGGTAAAAAATCCTCTTGTTTTCCAAATTAATCCAAAGTCGTGAGCCACGCCCAGTGCATATCTTGAATCCGTGTAGATATTGGCGCGCTTTCCTTCAGAGATCTTGCATGCTGAAGTCAGGGCTTGCAATTCAGCTTCTTGTGTAGACATAGTTGATGGTAAAGATGATGATTTGACAATTTCATCTGTTGTGGTTACGGCATATCCTGTATGGTATCTTCCTTCTTCATCAGCATATCTTGAGCCGCCCACAAACAGGGTGAGATCGGGATCTACCAATGGGTCTTCATGTACAGTTGGTAGATGTGTTGTTTCCATTTTCATCTGTTCAAAACAGTCATGAGGTGTATCTGGGTCGTAGTCATTCACTATGGTTAAATCTTGGAACTTATTTTCCAGGAAATGACGTGGCCATGCTTTTAGGGTCAGTTGTTGGATATTTGACAACACCATTTTCCTGTAGCTGTGATTCGTCCATAGTGGCCCATGCTTTTGCCATAGGCCCAAGATCATTCCATGATATTGTTTTCAACTTGGTCACAGGGACATGTGGAATGGCAGTGTCCCAATGACGGTACAAATGCTTGAGTTCCGGAGGTAGATGAATCAAGACCATACTGTTGCCTTCAGAATCACAGTAGAAGTCTTGTGCAGTGAGTTTTACTTCGACCAGATGATAGAGTTCATCTTCATAGCAGGTTCAGGAGTGATGTTTGATTTGTACCACATGGTACAGAAGGCATATCCTGCTCCGTCATGAAGGAGTGCTTGTCCATCATGAAAGGATAGGTTGGGATGCATTTCCTTCTTGATGGTGCCAGTGAGAAGAAAAACATAAGTTTCGTCCATGATGTCCATGATGAATCCGTAGTATACACCCCCCTCAGGGAGTGGCAGAAGAGTGGACGGATTGAGAACTTGACATCTTGGAGGGTAATGTTGTCAGGCAACAAAAGATGACATTGAAGGCGAAGATGCCTAGCAGGAGTAACATGCTTAAGTTGGACCTGGTTGACTATGGCAGAAATGTCATGGGGGCCAAGACAACCAGGGGGTGGCCAAGGACAAGATCTCCAGTTCTTTCAATGAGCTCTCTGGCAGCAAAGACGGCCCGAAGGCAAGAGGGACGTCCTCTGGCCACAATATCCAGTTGGCCGGAGAAAAATCCAATAGGCCTTTGGCGGCCTCCAGGACCATGGGCCTGAGTGAGCACTCCTGTTGCATGGCCTTGTCTTTCAGAAACAAACAGTTTGAAGGGTTTGGTATAGTCTGGTAGGCCAAGAGCAGGAGCAGAAGCAATAGCACGTTTGAGAGAACAGAAGTTGTCAAGGGCTTCCGTGGACAAGCAAAATGGGTCTGACTTGAGAGCATCATAAAGAGGTTGCATAAGGAGCGAGGCTTCTGGGATCCATGCTCGGCAATAGGAAATGAGGCCTAGGAAGGCGCGTAGTGACTTCGAGGTCCTTGGAGGTGGAATGTCCAGTACCGCTCTAACTCGGTCACGGGTAAGATGTCTGGTTCCCTGAGACAGACAATGGCCAAGGAAGATAACAGTAGGTTGGCAGAATTGCAGCTTGAGACGTGAAGCTTTACATCCTTGTTCTGCTAGGTAGCAAAGAATATTAAGTGAGCATTGTTCTGTTGTGGGTATATCATCTCCACAAAGCAGCAAATCATCCACATATTGAAGCAGGACAACCTCAGGGTGGTCAGATTGCCATGGATCAAGGATAGAGCACATGGCCTTCGCAAATTGACTTGGTGAATTTTGTGCCCCTTGGGGCATGACAGTCCATGTGTACTGTTGTTTTTCATGTGTGAAAGCAAACAGATATTGGCAAGTTGGATCCAGGGGAACACTGAAGAAGGCATTGGCCAGATCAATGACAGTGAAGTACTTGGCAGAGGGTGGAACGCCGGAAAGGAGAGTGTGTGGGTTGGGCACTATTGGAGTGTCCAAAACTGTGGCTTCATTTACCGCTCTGAGGTCTTGGACCAATCTGTACTTTTCTGGTTCGCCTTTTGGAGTCTTTTTCTTTACCGGAAATAATGGAGTATTGCATGGTGATTCACATTTGACAAGAGCACCCTTCTCCAGGAGTGCTTGAATTTGAATTGTAATGGCTGCAGCTTGAGCTGGTTTCAAAGGATACTGTGATTTTCGTGGCAATTTTGCTCCTGGGATGAGCTTTACCACCACAGGTGGGACCTTTAGATGGCCTATGTCCTCTGGGCCCGTGGACCACAGTTTCTTGGGAACATCAGTCTTTAGTGAATCAGGGAAATTAGTCCTTAGGTCTTTTGCATCCCCATGAGGCTCTTCTAGATGTAGCATCAGGGGTAAGGAGCACAAAGCTGAGGTGTCTGAGACAGATAGAGGGGTGGATAGTTCCACTTGTCCATCTGGAGTAAAGGTGATGGATGCCTGCAGGCGTGAAAGAACATCAGCTCCTAACAGGTTAATGGGGCATGTGGAAGATACCACAAAGCGAGCAAGCAAGTTGTGGCAGTTACCAACCCGCAGTGGGGTGGACAGGGGACTTTGCCTTGGAAGGCCGTCCACCCCAACACAGGAGACATCAATATTGGAAAGAAATGAGGTATCGGGCAGGTCTTGTTCTCTCAGAACACTTCGGGCTGCACCTGTGTCAACTAGGAAAGTGGTGGGCTGGCCCTCAATGGGTAAAATTACAGTAGCTAGAGGCCCCCCCTGTTCCCCTGAAGACACTGCCATGGCAGGGGCATTAAGCATCAGCGGGTTTGCTCTCCTCAGTATGGGCTGTGTTACTGACTCAAACCCCTTTCTATGTCATTAGCCATAGCTTTTTGCAGTCTGAACATGTCTATCATTATAAATAATGGTTAATAGTAAGTGAAGTAAAGTTCCTAAATGTCTTTGGATAAAACATTAACTATTGCGGTACTATCATTTATATTAATTAGACTATAACAATTATACCACCCTGTAACTAAAATGAACAACCAGTAGTGGCTGGGTTAATAAAACATGGCACAAACCCTTCTAATGCTAAACCATCATTTAACGTAAAGGATGTTACTGTAAACATACGATCTGTAACTAGCAAGATTCGATTAAGTAAAGATACAATGTTTAAAATAACTTGCATTATTTGGCTATTTCCCTTGTTGCAAGATTAATCTGGATAATCAGCTGTTATGCTCTTATATTCGTGTCCAACAGATTTCATATGTAGGTCACACCACATTTGCAAATTACATTTTAGCAACCTTCTTTTTTTTTTTTTATCACGGACAAATTTCTGATACAGGGAAACAAATGGCATGATTGTTTTAGTAATTATAATGTTTCAGTTCATAATATGTAGAGTGTAAGGAAAATCACGTCTCTAAATGGGACGAGCATAATAGGGGTAGGTCTCATGATGGAGGCAGCCATGACAGGGGCGGGGAAGGAAATGACAGCAAAGGAGGAAGTGAGAGGGGTGACGTCCATGATATGTGTGGGAAAGGAAGACAGGAGGTGTGGGCATGGTAAGGGCGGAAGTGACGTTACTTTAGAAGCAACCGTGACTGTGGATAGGTCATGGGACTGGCAGGCGCCATCTTTAGGGTGGTGGTTGACGTACTTTCAACCATACACTATATTATAACTATTAAAATAAGTCAGAGAAGCAACATTCTGTTCTGCAAAATGAAATACTAAACTATGAACAGACCTGGCAGGTTGAATAAGACAGTTGAGAACATTATGCATTTAACAGCCCATACAGCTGTTTCTAGAAACATGTACTTTAAAATAATAAAATGATGCAAAATAAACTCACGGAATTCAACCAATTTCCCTTATCATCCTCTAGCCATTAATCACTTTCCTCTTCACATACTAGCTTAACTCCGCATATTCCCTCTATCCACATTGCATAGTTTTGCAACAAATCACGCTTGCCTTTACACTTAACACGTCCAAATATTCCACTATTCTCGTATCAGATTCACTTACCTCCGTAAATCAACACTGAGCTACATTCTTGTGTCTCCCCCACAATCCTCACCACTTTATCACAAAACTCAATCTATACATACACACACATATACATATATATATATATACACACATACATACATACATATACAAACGGCAACAATAATGATATTATTACACAACTATAACACCATAACCTCTGAATTAGAATATTTTCCAGCAAAAATCCTGTCTCTAACTCTTATCAGCAGCTCCGAAATGCAGAAGGCATGTACCTCCCCCATTCGGAGGCAAGTGGGGAGGAAAGGGGGGGATGTGAGACAGTGCAAAAAAGGGAGAGAAGCTGCAGGCATGAAGATTAACCATGTGAGTGCTGGAAAGTAACAAGACAGAAGGACAGAGACTTATACGTTTGGAAACCAGAAATCTTTGACGGGAGAAACGGACTGGAGGTGCAGGGAGCTGCAGAGAGAGGATGAGGGTGACGGGATCTGTAGGACTGATGGGGGGGGGGAGAATAGGGATCCATCAGCATCCAGTAACACAATTATTATAATACACAAACAATCTTAAACCTTTGTGATCAATTTCTTCCTCAACCTATTCCTTTTGCTGAATAGCTCTTGCTACTCGGTATCAGGCTTCTGCTGTACAAACCAAATCTTGGTCCGACAGCTTCCCTTTCTTCTGTCAGTAACTTACGCCAGCTCTCTGGCTACAATCTGCCGCACAGAGGTACGGTAATTCCACATACTTTAGCAATCTTCCTCACTTTCTTAACCATCTCTTCTCCTTCTCTGTCTTCCACTAGATCACATGCTAACCAACCCTTACTGGGTTTATCTAACTTCTGTCCCATCCTCCCTATATAAGGCATCCCAGATATAGAGAGAGAAAGGAACAGAACGTCTACCGTGCTCGACTGCTACTTTAAGAGCAAGCTCTTTAAGTACGTCTTCCCAAAACGTAGACTAGTCACTGATTCCGCCTACCCGTGGTAGCCGCGGATTGGAGCGTGGCGAGAAGTGTGTGACCAATCACTTCTCTCAACAAAGAGAAAGAGAAATAGGAGGGGAAAGTGTAAATAGTACAGTGAGTAAGATAGAAGTAAACACAGTGTGATGGGATTCCAGCATGGTCAAAATTTAGTAGGCCAAAATCTCCATGTGGCATATGTGTATGTTGTGTCAGTTGGTTAGCTACATGTAGCTAGGATACTGTCATCAGTGTACTGAGCATGTGCAGGAATGCAGGAACTGAAATTGCACTTATTTCCTTTGT